TTGCCTGTTGGTCCAATGAAGAAGAGGTGTTTTCTTAATGTTGAAATAGAATCAACATTGAATACTGTTCACTTTCTTTATTTGCATTGTTGTTATCTTATTATCAACTCAGAACTGATCATAGCTCAGAGACAGTTAATCACATGTGAGAAGATTGCTCATCTTTCTCCCGTGATGCAACTGGTGAATTCACACTGAGTGCCTTTGGGATTGCAGCACAGATCCTTACCACTAGGCCAGCAGAGTGTTTAATCAATTGCTGACCTTTGAATTGTCTATAGGAATAGATATTAAGTCACAAAGATGAAGATATTATTGCTAATTAGTCAAACAACTGCTTTATTGACATTTCGTTAACTGATAATTAACTTTAAGCAAGGTAAAGAACCTAGATTTTGCTTGAAAAAGCACATACTGCAGGAAAGAATACAAGAATCAAAAGTGCAAAAAAAAAAAAGAATCAAAAGTGCAAATAAAGATACTAATAGTGTGGTTGAGTACCATGGAGTCAGAACTGACCTATAGCTGACCTTCCTGTGGGTTTTCAGAGGCAGTTAACTGCACGGGATCTGCTTAATATCTAAACACTTTTGTTTTCTCCCCAGGTTATTTATTCTTCTATTAATTGTCGTCAGCATTTTGTGGGTCCCGTTGCTTCAGATATCTCAGAACGGACAACTCACGAGATATACGACATCGATTAATAGCTACCTTGCACCTCCAGTAGGTGCTGTCTACCTACTTGCCATCTTCTGTAAAAGAGTCAATGAACAGGTAGGTAGAAATTCAGGAAATTTTTCCATGAAGAAATGAGAAAATGGTTTCTTTCCCTTGGGGTAAAATGAAGCCTTTTTACCTATTTATGCTGTTCAAAAAGGAAACGGAATGCATGCATAAAGATCAGCATTCTAGACATTAGTTTGTTGAGATGAACATTAGTTTGTTGCTATTGGCTATGTTAAATCAGAGAATCAAATTATCTGTTCTTCTGGGAATGATACGATTGAACTTCTTCCTTCATTACCATTGGCAATGTATCATGTGCTACTTCTTGAAATATTTCAGTGTCAGCCAGTTCTTTTGATACAGTGATTCTGTGTATTCTCTCCACTTTATTTTGACGCTTTCTGGGTCATTCAAGATTTTGGCCATAACATCTCTAAGTACTGCACCTCGAGTCTTGAATTTCTTTTTCTATTCTTTCAGCTTGAGTAATGCTTTAATGAACTATTAACGATTTAAAAGATATTGATTACTATTGTTGTGGCCTGCTGGTGAGAAGCTGCTCTGCAATCCTGGAGGCACACAGTTCAAATCCACCAGCTGCTACATGGGAGAAAGATAGGTAACCTACTCCTGTGCAATTACTGGCTCCGAAAACCCACTTATGGATCAGCTATGAGTTGTTTCTAACTCTTTAGTACACAACAACAATGACAACATTGTTGTTAAGTTGCCACTGAGTTAACTCAACTGACAGTGCCCCTATAAACACTGAGAAGCCTGTCTTACCTGTGTCATCCTGACCATCCCTGACTCGAGAACATTGTTAGTCATCACGTCAATCCATATTGTTGAGAGTCTTCCCCAACTTGGCTAACTCCTCATCTCTCCAAGCATGTTTTCCTTTATCAAGGACTGGCCCCTCTTAACAATATGCCCAAAGTAAGTGAGACAAAGCTTCAGTATCTTTATCTCCAAGGAGCACCCTGACTACACCTATATCAAGGTGTATTTGTTTGTTCTCCTGGCACTTCCATTAGATAGTCAACATTCTTCTCCAACACCACAACACAAAGGCATCAATTCTTCTTCTGCCCCCTTACTCATTGTCCAACTTTCAGCTAGTAATTGGACAGCTTATGGTTTAGATCAGGTGCACCTTAGTCTTCATATTGCCCTGAAAAACTCTGATATCATTGTTTTTCAGTACTTTGGAGAGGTCCCTGACTACAGATTTCCTAAAGCGATACATCTTTTAATTATTACTTGTTGTTTGTTGTTAAGTGTCGTTGAGTCAAGTATGACTCATAATGATCCTATAAACAAATGATGTGTGAACCCTGTTGTATTCTGTGCCATTCTCACACTTCCTGACACACTAGAGCCCATTGCAGCAGTCATCACCGTGTCAATCCACTTGGTAGAGGGTCTACCTCTCTTTTACTGACCCTCTATTCATCATGTCCTTCTCCAAGGAATAGCCCCTCCTAGCAACATGCACAAAGTATGTGAGGTGAAGCCTCATCATTCTTGCCTCCAAAGAGTACTCTCACTGCACCCTTTCCAAAACGTATTTGTTTGTTTTTTGACCAACCATGAGATGTCCACTGCTCTTCTCCAACACTACAGCTCAAAGGCATCATTTCTTTTTCTGTCATCATTATTCATTGTGCAAGTATCAGATTACTATTACAGACACATATATTTGGATAATTAATTATTAGAGATCATAACAAAGTCCCTTAGAGGCATGAATGGCTAAGCACCTATCTTATGGTACTTTGGAAGGCAATCTTGAAAACCTTATAGAACATAAGTTCTACTCTGACACACTTGGAGTCACTTATGGTTCAGGATTACCCTATAGAAGCTAATATTAATAGCATAGGTTATGCACATTTAATTGATTAGTTGATCCTACTGTCTCTGAAAATCTGCTGAAGGATAATCTAAGGGTCTATTCTGACTTGCCAGCATACAACAACAGATATTAGCCTTGTTGTTGTTATGTGCCATCACGTCGCTTGTGACTCATGAGAGCCCTAAACCCGGCTCTATCCTTCCCAACCTCACTGTCGCTGACATGCCTACTCCCATTACCCCAATCACTGAATGGATCCATCTCACTGAGGGTCTTCCTCTCATGCACTGTCCCTCCACCCTCCCAAACATGATGTCCCTCTCCAAGGACTGGTGCCTCCATGCAACATGCACAAAGTATGTCACACAAAGCTTCAGAATCCTTGTCTTCAAGGAGCAGCCTGGTTTCACCCACTCCAGGACAAACCCGTTTGTTCTCCTAGCAGTCCATATTATATTCAAGACTCTTCTCCAGCACCACAGCTCAAAGGCATCAATTGTCTTTCTATCATCCCTAGTCACTGTCCATCTCTCTGATGCACAACACACAATTGCAAAGACTATGGCCTGGATCAGGTGCACCTTAGTCTTCAGACTGACATTGTTGCTCTTCAGTACTCTGGAGAGGTCCCTGGCAGCTGACTTTCCCAATGCAATTTGTGTATTGATTAACAATCTTATTCTCTTCACTATCCATAATGATGCTGACAATTGGCCCAGTGGTGAGAATTTTTGTTTTCTTAATGTTGACTTCAATCCATATTGAAGGCTGCAGTCCTTGACCTTCTGCAGCAAGCGCTTCAGATCCTCCTCAATTTCAGCAAGCAGGGTTGTGTCATCTACATAACATGGGTTATTGATGACTCTTCCTCCAATCCTGATGCCACATTCCTCCTTGTACAGCCCAGCATCCCAGACGATCTGTTCTGCATACAGATTGAAAAGGTATGGAGACAGAATACATCGCTGACGGACACCCTTCCTAATTTTGAATCGTGCAGTATCTCTTTCCTTTGTTCTGAAGACTGCCTCTTGGTTCAAGTATAGGTTTCACATAAGCACAATCAAATGTTCTGGGATTCTCATTCTTCTCAGAGTCAGCCATAGTTTGTTGTGATCCACACAGTCAAAAGCCTTTGCATAGTCAATGAAGCACAGATAGACATTCCTCTGGTACTCTCTGCTGTCTGCCAAGATCCATCTAAAACTAGCTATATCTCTAGTACCACAGAGTCTTCTAAGCCCAGTCTGCCCATCTAGCAGTTCTCTGTTGACGTGTTGCCCCAGTCATTTTTTAATAATTTTCAGCAGAATCTTGCTTGCATGTGATATTGATATTGTTCGATAATTTCCTCACCCTGTCGGGTCACCTTTCTTTGGAGTGGGAACCAATAACGATTTCTTTCAGTCAGTTAGCTAGCTGGCTGCCCTCCAGATTTCTTGGCACAGCTTAGTGAGCACATCCAGGGCGGCATCTGTTTGTTGAAATATCTCAATTGGTATGCCATCAACTTCTGGAGCCTTGTTTTTTGCCAATTCTTTCAGAGCAACTTGAACTTCCTCCTTCATCACCACAGGCTCTTGCTCATATGTTGTTTCATGAAATTCTTCTGTATCAGCCAATCCCTTCTGGTACAGTGACTTTGTATATTCCCTCCATTTTCTTTTAATGCTTCTTGGATCATTTAACATTCTGCCCAAAGCATCCTTAAGTATTGCCACTTGTGGCCTGAATTTGATTTTCAATGTTAGCCTTACTTTATATAATTTTCAGATGAGTAGTCAGTTCAAAAAGACAAATATCTCTGTGTCTGGCACAACTACTTATTAGTTATTGAAGGAATTGAGACGCAGATATTCCCATGCAAAATTCTCTTATTATTCATCTTTATGAAATATTGCTTTTAAATATTGATCAGGACAAGTAGAGGCATGAGTTTTCAGCTCTATCAACTTCTTGAGAAAGATATCATTTTTTTATTGTAAAAAATTATGGAACTTTTTGGAGGGGGCAGTTTCTGTGAAAGTTCACAGAAAAATTGTGTTTTCTTTCATTCATGGATATGCATTTTTCTCCTTTTCTCTCCACAAATTAACTTTATAATGCACATTTTGTTCCATATTTTTGCCACACACATAATGTCAGCCATTCCCTTCCATTAGTCTTTCCCTATTGTCTATCCATTCTTTTTCTGTTCTGTCCACCTGACCCTCAAGTCCGTCCTATTTTTATAACAGTGGTCTTATGCAGTATTTGTTCTTTGTAACTGAGATATTTAACTCAGCACATTATTTTCCAGACTCATCCATCTTTTGTAGTGTTTTGCAGGTCCATTGTTTTTTAATACTATGTAGTATTCCATCATGTGAATAGACCAGTATTCCTATCAATTCATTTGTTGTTGGGCACTTGAGCTACTTCTTTCTCTTTGCTTCTGTGAGTACTGAAGCCTGTTGCAATAAACATGGGTATGCATACATCTGTTTGCGTTACACCTTTGCTTTCTTTATGGGTTTATTCCCAATAGTAGGTTAGCTGAGTAAAAAGATACTTTTATTTTTAACTTTTTGAGGAAGTGCCAGACTAGACTGTCTTTCACTTTACAGTCCCACCAGCAGTGTATGAGAGTTCTAATCTCTGCACATCTTTGCCAGCATTTGTTGTTTGCTGCCCAGTTGAACTTTACTATTGTTGCGGGGGTAAGATGATATCTTATTGTTGCTTTAATTCCATCTCTCTAAGAACTAGGGATTCTGAACATTTCTTCATGAGTTTATTGGCCATTTGACTTTTGTCTTTGGTGAAGTTTCTATTTCTATATTGTGTCCATCTTGTGATTGAGTTGTTTGCCTTTATCTTGTTGAGATACTAAAATATTTTACAATTTTAAATAGTGATTTTTATCAGATATGTTATTACCAAATATGTTTTCCTATTCTGTGGGCTTGCTTATTACCGTGTTGGAGAATTCCTTCATTGTGCATAAGAATTTTATTTTATTTTTAATTTCTTAAATTACTATTGTTGTTGTTGTTATGTGCCATTGAGTCACTTACATATTATTAGATAAATTTTTGTATATTTATTATCTATAATTACTATTGTTGTTGTTGTTATGTGCCATTGAGTCACTTACATATTATTAGATAAATTATTGTATATTTATTATCTATATTATCTATGCTATGGT